CCCCAAAGAACTTGGGATGGGGAAGAATGAGCAGCGTCCATCAGGATTATCTGAGGAAGTGGTACCCTCATTAGAGAGTAGAACTGAAAGTTGTTTTTCTCCACCTCAGTTGCTTCATGGAAATACCTGAAGAGCTTTACAAATTAAAGGTGCTGGGGTCTGCCCCAGACTAAATGAATCTTAATCTCTGGGGCTGAGGTTTGGACACCACTCTCTTAAGTTTTCCAGATGAGAGTGATGCACAGTGAAGTTTGAAACCCGAGGCAAGAAGTGAAGAGAGCATTTAATGAAGAGGCCGAAGGTGTAGGGGAATTGGTAATGGAATAAGCTGTAGGCACTGGGGAAAATGCAGGACATTGATTGAAGTAGGGCGTAGAGGAGATGACAGATGACTAGGAGGGCTTTTCTTTCTTTAACATGTAGTGGGATGGAGAAAGATGTCACAATGAGGGACTCTGGGGAGGTTCGCTGGCCCCTGGAGTTATAACCAGAACTCATGCACACCCAGAGGGTCCCAAGGCCAAATTCTTTGCAGTCTGTGGTCTAGTCGGCAACCTGGGGCCTTCGTTCTATGTTCCAGTAGGGTAAGGGCGATAAACTTAGAAAGTGGTACTCATTTGGGCTTCTGCTGTCTGCAAACTTCAATCCAGAGCTGATCAGACTGAGTTTTATCAGGCCAAGATTCAGCTTAGATTGAATATTAATATAAATGACCAATGCTCAACAATTTTCTGGGGGAGATACAGACATTTTAGTGTTCCAGAAACGAAAGGACAAAAAATTCTCACCTAAGCTCCATTTAGTCACTAAACACTTACTGAAGACTAGGGCTCAAAGATGTTGGGTTTTTTTTTTTTTTTAATGTTACTGAATAATAAATGGTGTAGCTGTTAAGAACTTGGGCCCTGTAGACACAATTGGGATCTAGGTTCAAATTCTGGCTCTGACACCTGCCACATACCTGGATATGTGGTTGAACCTCACTCTCACTTTCCTTATCTCTAGAACAATAATTCAATACTAATAAGGTCTACTTAATGAGATTGTGATGGAGATTAAATGAGATGACCCTAGAAGCACTTTCTGCACATGGTTAATGTTCCATAAATTAAAATCATGAAGTGCGTAGACATAAGCCAGGTGCTAAGGGTTGTGAGAATGAATAAGATACAGTCTCTGCTGTCAAATATCTCCAATTTTAGCTAGAGATACAGGTGTGTAAAGAAGAAATAACAATCCAGTGTTGATACATGCCAAGCTCCGAGTATGCACCGGACAGCTCTATGGAAGCATGAAGAGAAGGGCATTTAACTTTGTCTGCGGAGGGAAGACAGGGCAAGACTTGCAAAAAAAAAAAAAAAGGAAGCCCAAGAGTGAATCTTCAAGAATAAGGACTAACGGGAGTTACCCACCCAAAGTGCAGGGTGAGGGATCTTGGTAAGAGAGAAGACTTGCCAGGCCTTGGCCTAGCATGAAAGTCTTGGCAGTAAGAGAAAATCCAGCAGTTTAGGGAGCATGACGTGGGTATGGGACAGTGGAGGCTATGGCAAGAATAGACAATGGAGAAGTAAGCTGGGGGCAGATCATGCAGGCCCCTGGATAGCATGCTAAATGAGCATGAACTTATACCATATGGGGAGTGGGGGGGCATTTAAGGATCTTAATGGCAGAGAATGTGGTCAGATTTGTGTGTTTCCAAGATTACTCTGCCCACAAAGTAATGAAGAGCAGGAGGCAAGATTGGAGGCAATAAGACCAGGTGAGCAATAGCGGTACCTTAGACTAAGGTAATGGTGTGTGGGGATGAAACGAAGAAGGGAGATTCAAGATGAGTGTGGGAGTGTGGGAGATAGCATAGAACTTGGTGACTAATTAAGGTAGAGATGCAGTGGGAGTCAGAGAAGCTCCCAAATTTATGGCATGGGCTGTTGGGCCAGTGCTGAATTACCCAATAAAGAGACTTAACGTGTGTTACAGGCCCTGCAAATCAGGGGCCCCCAAAACCTGGCCACATTTTTAGTTTGTATATGTAGTTTTCAGAAAGACTTCATCACCACAGGAATAGCAGAACTTTGTGGACTTTCTTACCTTTTTATGCTTTAGTATTGTTTTTATTTGAATTATATATTGGAGAGGGAGGGGGTCGTAATCTTTTCATTGCTCGGGGCCTCCCAAAAGAAGAGGGGTCTAAAGCCTGAATCCTTCTTTGATCTGCGTGGTTAGTGGTACCATCTCACTGAGAGAAAGGAAGAGCAAGTTTGGGCTTCCTGCCTTTGTTACACTTAGCCCTGAGTGAAGGGAAGGGCATGATCAGGCTGGTGAGAGACTGGCAATCAGGTAGCCTTCTGGAGAGACTCCATGAAGTCAATTCCTATAGCTCAGCCCAAGGGGAGTGGTTAGGGCTAAGTCAATAAGCTTTAAACATTCAACCATTGCTAATGGAAATTAAGGAGAAACTGCTGGCAAGAGAGGTCATGAATGCAAGTTGATACAGTGATTGGAGACATAGACTGAGCTACGGGTTCTCAACCCGGAGTCCAGGGGAGTTCTGAACCTCTGAAATTATATGGGAAATTGTGTAGATATGTTCAGTGCAATTTATGGGCAGAAGTTCCATAGCCGCCTTCAGATTTTCAGAGAGGTCTTTGACCCCAAGAGAGTCACCTGTCACTAGAAGTAGATTCACTGTGAAGTGAATAACACTTCTCTAGAGTTCCTCACTAGCCTGGGGCTCTTCCAAGGCCCTAGGAGGGGCCCTGGTAGTCTTGGAGTGTTTTTCCTTAAAGGGAGCATTCCTCTCAAATTGCATAAAGTGTTTGGTCCCACAGTACCCGGATCATCCCCAGCCAACCGCAGATCAGGGAGTTACGCCACATGGGTTAGTATCTGGGACTGGCTCCCATCCAGGAGGAACAGGGGTGAAGAAAGGATTGTTAAAGGCCAAAGACTGCATTAGAAAAGGCAGAAGGAGGGGGCGCCTGGGTGGCTCAGTTGGTTGGGCGACTGCCTTCGGCTCAGGTCATGATCCTGGAATCCCGGGATCGAGTCCCGCATCAGGCTCCCTGCTCGGCGGGGAGTCTGCTTCTCCCTCTGACCCTCTCCCCTCTCATGTTCTCTCTCTCTCTCTCTCTCATTCTCTCTCTCAAATAAATAAATAAAATCTTTAAAAAAAAAAAAGAAAAGGCAGAAGGAGAAGCGATGCCAGTCAAATAAAGAATGGTCACCGAGGGAGGAGGAGAATGGGACCACACTGTGAAGGAAGTAAAAAGAGAGGGAGTCAGCCACGTCCAACATGGTTGGGAGAGCCGGGAAGAGGAAAACCAAGGACACAATTACAAGAGTGGCTAGGATAGCTGCCTGGCGGCCAAGCAAGTGTGAGTGGTAGCTATGGGGCCCAAACACACAGCGGAAGTAGGTACCCACACAAAACTCTCTACTTCATTGTTCGGTTGGGATCGTATTCCACGAAGTAGGCTTGCTGTAAACACGGCATCTATGCCGAAGTCAAGCTGAATGGCACATATGTACTTTTCAAAATTGAGTCCTAATGTGTTCCGTGGCCAGGCAGAGGCTTTGAGTGACCCTTGTCCCCCACCTACCCCCCCACCCCCACCTCCAATCTTTCTTTCCTAATCCTGTATCCTAATCTTCTGACTCCTTGAATGTACATATTTCTGCCCCATCTCTCTGTCCTCTGGCTGGAGATAGGGAGCAGTGAGAGAGGGTAGAAGGAGAAAAGAGGCCATGAGAATGACATTTGAACGTGAAATGTCTTGAATTGAAAATTTATCCTGGGTAACTCACAAAACCATATATGGTTAATTGAATGTTGTCTGAAATTCAGGCCAAGGAAACATCTATTTGAACCAGAGTGTTCTAAGTTGGCCACCCTGGCAATTCTGAGATTGACTGGTTTCAGTTGGGCAAACCATGCTGACTTTCCCATTATTAGGAGGGTGAGTATTATTATTAATTGTCTTTTGAGTGTGAAATGCACCCCGATCAGAGATCCATGCTCCGATTTGCTTATGTGTCTAATATGGAACCTACTTGATGCCATTTTACATTTCCACAGTAACTTCCTCCTGGAATCTATTCCAAGATAGACTAATTTCATTACAGTTCCCAACTTAATTTCTCCAATGATAATATCTTTAAAGGTTTTTGCCATTTTAACGGTGGATGTGTTTATCATAATTGTGTCACTATGAAAAATCTACTTGAGGACAATGATTTTGAATGGCTAATATGACAAAAAAATATATTAGGGTCATGGAAAAATAGCTACACACTGGAATGACTAAGCCAAAGCATTGATTTGAGGTTACTAAGAACTAAATAAAATTAATTCAGTAAAAATCAGCCATTTGTATTTTTTTTACTAGCAAAGTGCTGGGTAGGAAATGATTAAAAACATTTTTAGTGATAAAGATGTGTAACATTAATGGTTTGCAGTAGTATTTTCACTGAAAGAAGACCAAGAGTCTATTAAGATATGCTTCATAAATGTAAACATGTAAATTAAACAAGTTCTAGCTGCTTGATATTTCGCTATGGTTATCATTGAAACAATGCTTTTATAGATAGCTTCAGCACTTTTCTGTTCTTTCTTTGTAAAGTAAGCCTTAGCTTGACTTGATCATAATGAATTGCTTCGTTAGTAAATCCTATTCGATCCAACAAAGCCAGTTAACCACAACACACCTACATACCTGTTGGTTACATTATTAGACTGGTAAAGGACATAAATCAGTGTGACCGTAAGTTTTGTTTGAACTCGATTTGGGAAATTTGTATATTATCTGGATGTAACACTTTTTGTCAAACTCTCAGCTACTTCTGCAGATGAAATTATACTTTCTGGAGCTAAATCCTGTTAAGCTTGTGTTGGAATCAGTTGTCTTTCAACTTTGTAATTGTTTTTGATGAACCTAATTGTACAACTATAGGGATGACAAAACCATATCCCCAATAAATACATGTTAACATTTTGCCTTTAGCCAATAAGAAGAAGGAGAAAGAACGCCCAGAGATCTCTCTTCCTTCAGACTTTGAACATACGATTCATGTGGGGTTTGACGCAGTCACCGGGGAGTTCACTGTAAGTAAGCTCCTTACTGTGCTTTGCAAGCCATGAAAAAAATTCCTTTGTGAAAATAGGTTTCAAGAAAACATGCCCATGTCCCAGAATGTCAGGCTTGATGCTTTGGATGACTTCAAGAAGATGGACTATGCTGAGTCAATCCCAGTTGGAACTAGAGAGTGGCAAGAGTATTGGCAAAATTATTTCGTCCATCATAAAAATGTCTGATCGCAGTTAGTCTTCAATGTCATTGAAAATGCGAATTTTCCATGGCACAGGAGAGGCAGTCCTGGTAGAGAGACTCTGTTGAGCCTGTTTTTTATTGTTTGAAGTGAATCAGAGAATCAACTGACTCACCTTGGCCAGTGAATACAGTCCATCTGAATAATTCAGGCTTGACATTGGAACCTGGATTACCCAGATCAGCTAACCACACTAACCAAAAATCTCTGTACGATTGACCTGGTCTTCCCTTTGATTTCAAGAACATGGCTTATTTTTAGGCCTATTAACAGGCATATTTCATAGGCCTTCAAAACAACGAACCCCATGTTTCAGGAAGACTATGAATGTGTCATGTGTGCTTTAGTGGTTATGTGCTTTATATACAATCCACAATAAATACCAATACGAATTTTCCAGAAAGACCATAGCTATAGTCAGCCTTTCTTTGGATATTTGTAGTGCTCAAATAGCACAAGATCTCAGGCATTTGGTACTTTTTTTTTTTTTTTTTAAGATCTGGCATCTTTGTTTTTAGATAGATGAAGGAAAAGATGTGGCTAAAAATATGTCCCCAGGAGGATCAGCTATCTTTTTCATACTAGTAAGGATCTCAATAAAAATGTACATTCTGAGATAATGAGTAATGTTGAATGCATTCAGAAGAAAAATTTTTTATAATATCATCACCACTGATTCTTGGGTTCTAAAACCAGAGATAATTTTAGATGTTGAATAATTAAATTTTCTGTTTTGTAACTTGACGGTTAGTAAGTAAAATCATATGACTGAGTGAACCAAAAAGGGGCGGGGGACAAATTGACTGGATTTGGAGAAGCAAACCATGTCTCTGAATTGACTGCCAAATTGCCTTTTTTTTTTCCAATTCCAGAAGTACGTAATATGAGAATAAAATCAAAACGGAGTAAACATCTTGGCCTTGTAAAGTGACATGAGCTGATTATTTCTATACTCCCAGTAGTAAGCAGAAGAGAACGTAAAGAAATACTGATGTTAATAAAGTTGAGACAGTGGTAGGATTTAACCAGTTTCATCCATGAAGTCAGAAACATTATTCAAATGGCCTTGGCTGCTGTCACCTCCAAAAATAATAATAGTAATAATAATAATAATAATAATGATTTTTATAATCTGAACAAAGATGTTACGACTTTTTTGACATTTGAAATAGTCAAAGCACTTCAACTTTGTAAATGTGGTCTAATAACTCTTCCCTGTTTTTATTTTAAGAATGTTATGCTTGCAGTTGTGACCTTTTTTGTTTTCTATGTGCTTTTCTTCTGCTTTAACTTCTCTTATGTTTTATTGCTGTCATGCCACGTTTTCTTTTTCCTTCCTTTTGGTCTGATGTGAAAGCTCTCCCTCCACTATTCTCATGTGACATTCTGGTTCCTTTCCAATTTTTTAAAAATATTTTCTGCTCTTTCCAACTTGCTTGACATCTTATAATACAATATATCTTGAGCTCTTTCTTTGTTCTTTTGGGGTTCCGAATGGAAATGAAAAAAAGTGAATCACCATCATCTTGCTGACTGCATTTTCACTTGGCCATCAGTTAGAACCCAAAGAACCCACCAGAGAGGGCTGGGGGTGGGATATGTGATGGGCACTCTTTCCAATTGTGACCAACAGTTTGATGCAACTGAACCCAACCAAACCCAAACCTGCCCCACCCCACCCCACCCCACCCCCGCCTCCCCCACACCCAATTTAAAATAAAGCAGCTGTTTGGATGCAGGCGGTTGTTTGAATATACAGACAGACACAGGCTAAATTTGGAAATCTGATGCATTTATTGTCCTCTTGGTTGTCTTTTGAAACTACTTGTCCACACATTATATTTAAAGATGCCAAATTCTGCCCTTTTCAACTCTTTTCACCTTCGGTTTACATTTACTAACTTTTAAAAATGCCAAATGATAATAAGCTTTTAAAATCATTTTGTTGGTAGCATTTAAAATTGGGTCCTATTTGCCACGGTGCCACTAACGTATTGTGTGTGTGTGCGCGAGCGCACATGCACACGCAGAGGAGGGGGAGGGACACATTACCAAATTTGATTATTGCTGTCGTTTAGGTTGAATTTTGAGCAATTTGTTGACTGTCTTGTTCAGTTGTCTTCCAAGGGCCTGTCACTGTGAATATTTGGACGCCAATTTGGTGTGCCCCTTGGTGATTGTCCTATGGCTAGTTGGCCCATATAACCTTGTACACCTGGTTATACGTTTGGACCTTGAGATTCAAATTAGGTTGGGAGGTGAGATTTGGGGTACTAAACTATGAAAAGTCCTTACCCTTTATATTGCCATTTTTGTCCCAAATACTTCAGAACTCCCCCTTCCAGACTTCTAGACCTGTGACGGTCGCTTCAAGTCAATCAGAGGGAAGAATGGTATGAGTGATATACATGATCATTTCTTATGATAAGATAAATGCTTGGCCTGTTGTATCATGCTGCCATTCTCCTGGGCTACACCGGACAATCCCCAGCTTGTTGTACATCTGGTTGTTATTGTACACGTGGTCAGGCATTGATATGTGCTCCTGCTTCTGATGCTCATACTTCTAGGTCTCCATTAGCTGTCTTAACTTTTGGGATTTGTACCTCAATCTGGAGTAATGAGATGGCTATCTGATGATGTGCCTTTGTGGCATACATTCAAATTTAAGTGTCAGGTCTCATTGATCGACTAGCTTATCTCAACTTCTCAAAGAAACAAGAAATTATGTCAGCAGGGTAGTCATGTGGTAAGTATAGTTGTCTGAAGGATCTTCTGCAATTGACAGCATGTTTTCCTGCTGTCTAGTGATCACGAGACATTTATTTATCACAAAAGTTTAGAACTGCCATCAGAATGTATAATAACTGCAAATATTCTAATAACTACGGTAATGATCATGCCAGTGATGTCTGCCCTAGTGGTTATGTGCAATGCATACCTGGTCTTATAACACTTAATAACTCCTTTGGCCATTACAGTATTAACCAAATGCTATTAATTGCACTTAGAATCAGAACTGGGATCATGCATGGGCTCCTGAGTTCAAATATGTGGCTTAAGGCTTTAGCATCGAATTGCGTGATTAATGCATGTCAAAGTGTCGTTTCACTGTGCTTGGAGTAACCCCAAATGCCAGGAATCAAAGACCTGTATCCCAAATCAAACCAGTTGGGTTGAAGCATGTTTCTGTAGCTTTGGAGACAATCTCTTTATTTAGATAAAGCCATTACCTTATACCCGATCTTATTTTGTGGGAAGCCGGGACTTCCAAACTGCAGCATTAAAATGGAAATTGTTCATATATGGTTTGAAATGAAATGGTTTCCCTTTCCCTGGTCTAAAGAAACTCAAAGGTAGAGTCTGGCTGTGTGGGAAATCCTTAATCTAGTTTTCCCTAAACCAGTCACGACTTTCTCGCTGCAACGTGCAGAAGAGTCGCATCAATGAGAATGCAGTTAAATTTAGCATCCCCATGTCGCCATCCTGTCCATTTTAGCCACACAGACACTTCCACGCTGAAACCAGAAACGGTTAACCAGAATTGAGAGCTGAGATTTGTAAGTTCATCACATGGCCATCGGCTACCTGTGATCACCTGGTTGTAAATACAGACTTACAAATTATCGTTAGAGCTTTTCATGATACCATCCTTCTTCCCTCCAAAGTCATGTTTCTGCCTTCTGGTAATTTCTCCAGTCCTTTAACGGTAATTCTTACTATTGTGTACTTATGGAGGAAGCATCTGGCCCCAAGTGGAATTATGCGTCCCAACTTGAGAATGTTGTCTTTTTTTCCTCTATTTCCTCAAATCTGTTGTCCTAGCCTGTCCTGCCCCTGATGGAGTTAAGACCTCTCGATTTTCATAACCGCCCCACTTGAGAAGGGATGACCCCCCCCATTCAGACCCATTGGTTTCATCTCCTCCCACCTTCTAAGTTGTCCCACATTCTGTTTTAACTTTCTTTTCTTTCTTTATTTACGTCCATTACAGCCAGATCTCTATGGCTCACAGATGTGCCCAGGGAAGCTCCCAGAGGTGCGTCACAGGCCCAAAAGAAGCTTGCATCAAAGTGCTTCTTTGAGATGTCATAGCACTGCAGCAGGTTCATGTGTGTGCAGTAGAGTTGTTGCTTGGCTTATCTCACTTTTTTGTTGTCATTCCCAAACTCTGGAGGCCCACGTCACACATTGTTTTGCCGAGACTTCAGAGGGCAAGGCCACATAAATTGTGTCTAGATGCACTTCAGGAACGATGTGTCTGTCTCTTGCTCCAAGCTGCCTTTGGAGGCTGGACAATTACGAAATGGGGACATCCGTAGGCTGGACATGTAGGAAAGAATGCTAAACGCTCAACGTGAAACTAACCTCTCAGCGTAATTGGTGCAATTGTCCCAGGTTAGATTTCCAAACGCTCCCTCCTGTCTGCTCTAAATGCTTTAGAGTGTTGCCAATTCTCACGAGGCTTTGGCACGGGCGTCACAGTCCCCAGGTTCCATGTGGCCAACGAACAAAGCGGGGAGGAGGGCATGGAGGGAGGAGAGGAGAAACTATTTAGCACCTCCGTGGTGTTGCTCCTCCACTATTCTATTTTTGCCTCCTCTCAATCCCCCTCTGTATTAAAGCCCTAGAGCACCCCCCCCCAAAAATTACATTTTATAATCACAAAGCGTAAACTGCCCGAACGAAGGTGAGGCTTTTCTTCTGTTTGGAAAGATCTTCCGATTACGACATGCCCAGAAACAGCATATGTGATTCCAGTCATATAAAATCCATTGATCTGCACTATACTATACTGTGCACAAATTTAGAGAAGTCTTGCTATGTCTGCCCTGAGTCGCCAGAAAATATAAGCTAAGCCGTAAACATCATTTCATGGATGAGCAGAATTAATATGGAGGTGATTTTCATGCGCTTTTTTTTTTCTATCACAGTCATACTCCCACCCACCCTTTTTAAGTTGGATCCTAGTTTTACCTATGTGTTTTAATTAGAGAAGAGAATGATTGCATTATTAAGTTACTAACTTTAAATCTAGAGTGTCACTTCAGTTTCCCAAGTGTAATCCTACAGGTAGCATGGGCTTCTTGGTGAAGAACTTTACTGGAACATAAAAATGCAGCTGCTGAATGTTCTGAGCTGCCATTCTCTCCCTCTGGTTGTCCACAGGGAATCCCTGAGCAGTGGGCACGGTTACTCCAAACCTCCAACATAACAAAACTGGAACAGAAGAAGAACCCACAAGCTGTCCTGGATGTTCTCAAATTCTACGATTCCAAAGAAACGGTCAACAACCAGAAATACATGAGCTTTACGTCAGGAGGTAAGAGGAAATCCAAGGCATCAAAGAGAGAAGAAGGAATTCCCATCTCAGAGCCTCAGGATTAGAACAGAATGCCTGTAGGGCATCTCAAGCCAGTCCTAGTGCCTTCTTCAAATGACCTCAGCGGCAGTAAATCGAAAGATGGGTTGGAAGGTGAAGTTGATATGAGGAGGTTTACCACTTGGTTGTTTTTAGAACTCAAGTAGGGGGAATTAATTGCTCAGTGAAGCAGCAGTTGTCAGGTTGAATCAGCAATTACAAATGTTTGGTCTCTGCACTGGCATGAAGACGACACTTAGTCACGTAGGATCAGGCCTTGTGATGTGTCCATGAGATAAGAGGTGTATGGATCCAGCCATGATCTCCTGAAGTTTTTTTATCCCTCCGATTCATTGAATTGGACCCTGATGATACAGCATGCATTTTGTGGTTGCCAGGCTATTTTGATCCAACCTCAGAATCAGGCTTAAAAAAAGAAATCATGTCTGGCTATTTATAAGAAATCGAAATGGCCATGTTCCTGCCAAATCCTGACTTCAGTTGCTAGCACGTAGACCTCGCCTTTGTTTGAAGCTTTGAGGTTCACATTTGCGCTATAAGCAACTGAAAAATATGTGCCAGACAATATTTTTGCATTTTGAGAAAGATGATCTGGGGTGCCTCTCTAGAACAACTTATTATTTAACATCTAAAAAAAGAAGAGCATCCTATCATTAGTGGCCCAGCTGTAAAGAGCCCCTACCTCTTGACATTGGTTTTAACATAGGGCAGGCTTGAAATATCTTCAAGGATGGGGCAAGGGGACACTTGGAAGGGGAGGAGTGTCTCATTTGGTCATAAGACATGTCAAAGCCCAAACTTAAGGCGTATAGTAATTCATGGGCTCCACGGGACGTTTTTAACTGAGAAGATAGCTTAACTGCTATTCTCCAGAGCAGGGAACCAAAAAGAAAAAAAGCCAGCAAGGAGAGGTTTTATGATATTTAGTCTTCCATGTAGAGTGAAATGTCTCAGAGATCCTAGTGACACTTCAAACAGGGCTTAATTAACGTGAGGAAGTCTAGAACTGTCCTCCGGGTTCACTGGAGAACCACAGGTGACCAGAACCAAAAGTATTTCATTCCAGTATTTCTCTGAGCTGCGTAAAACTCACCAGACACTCCATGGATGCTCTAGTGTTGGAGACTGAGGAATAGGGTGGGAGGAGGTGGGAGGAAGGAGAAAGAGAAAGGAAGGAAGGCAGGGTGAAAGGGAGGGTGGAGGAGGAGGGAGGGAGGGAGGAAGTAGGGGAGACATTCTGGATATAGGTGTATAGACTCATACCAACCAAGAGTAGGTAATCTTGGGGCACCTTGGTGACTCAGTTGGTTAAGCATCCAACTCTTGATTTTGGCTCAGGTCACAATCTCAAGGTCCTGGGATCAAGCCCTGCACTGGGTTCTGTGCTCAGCGGGTAGTCTGCTTGAGGGTTCTCTCTCCCTCTCCCTCTCCCTCTGCCCCTCCCCCTGCTTGCATACACGTTAGCACTCGCATGCACTCTCTCTCAAATAAATAAAATCTTAAAAAAGAAAGGAGTAGCTGATCTTGATATTCCTCCATATAGATGAGATTTGCTGGAGGCCTTCATTAAGGTCTATAAAATGACATGTGAGGGGGCAAGGGTGTGAGCTATTTTCAGAACAGTGATGTCATGTGTCATAGTATCTATTCAATACTGAACTGGAGAATTTCCTTCTGGTCAAAGGCATGCAGGTTAATTTTTTATTAACCCTGGTCTCTAAGTGAGGCAGGCTTCATGAAATAAAGGTGACATCTTTATCTTTACTTTCCAGATAAAAGCGCACATGGATACATAGCAGCCCATCCCTCGGTAAGTGAAAAACGGAAAATGGTTTGGAGTGATCAGTGTTTCTGGCAGTCCAACAGAATACCGTCACATAGATTCAGTTTAGATAGAGACTCTTTAAAAAAAAAAAGTCTTTTAAAGGTATAACTTAAGTCTATAAAATTCACTCATTTTTAAGTGTATAGTTTGATGAGTTTAGGCAAATGTATATACCAGCACTACCATTGCCACGATCCAGCTTTAGAATACTTTCATCACCTCCTAAGATCCCTTATACCTGCTTACAGCTATTCCCCATCCCACCCTAGCCCCAGGCAGTCACTGATCTGGTATTATGGGATTTGTCTTTCTAGACATTTCATGTACACAAAATAATACAGTATATGACCTTTGGGGATTGGCTTTTTTCACTCAGCATAATGCTCTTAGGGTTCATCCAAGTTGTGTGTTATTAGTAGTTTGTTCCTTTTTCTTGCAAAGTAGTATTCCATGGTGTGGATGTACCACTGTTTGTTTTAATAATTTACCCATTGAAGGATTTCTGGACCATTGACAGTTTTTGGCTCTTGCAGACAACACTACTATGAACATGCATGTATAAATCTTTATGTAGATAAATGTTTCTATTTCTCTTATACAAAGAATCATGAAAATAATAGTCATCTTGATAGTGGCTTCTCTTTACTCAACACTTACAATGTGCCAGGCACTGGGATGATAACATTTTACATTCACTTAACCTTTCTTGTAACCAGATGAGGGAAGTCTTATCATTGTCTCCATTTTATAGGTGAGGTTCAGAGAGGTAAAATAACTCATCTGAGGTCATACCACTATACTTCTGAGCGTCACCTGTTCCAATAAACTGAGATGCAGTGGGGGAGGTGACTTTGCCCAAACTCACGTAGATAGTCTGATCAGAGAAGTGACTAGAAAATAAGTAACCTAGGTCAAAGTTCTTAGAAATGATAGAGTATCTGCAAGAATACCCATAGGCATTAGATAGACAATTATCCTAGAAAAGGCTTACTTTGTGTGGTTTTATTTTGAAATAATTAGCATTAGTGAGAGTTTCCTAACTGTTGATTCATAGAGTCCTGGATAAGCAACCTTTTATAGAGGACAGATGCTGGCCCACTTGATGTCACCCTGGGTGACAAGTGTGATAGCAGTAGATCATTAGTGATAACAAGTTAAGGCTATGAAATAGTGTGGCAGTTCCTCAAAAATTAATAATAGAATTGCCATGTGATCCAGCAATCCCACATCTGGATTGATACCCAAAAGAATTGACAGCAGGTTTTCAAACAGATTTTTTATACACGCATGTTCATAGCAGCATTATTCACAATGTACAAAAGGTGGGAGCAACCCATGTGCCCATCAACAGACATATGGATAAATAAATGTGGTATATCCATGCCATGGAATATTATTCAGCCTTAAGAGGGAAGGACATTCTGGGGCACCTGGGTTGCTTAGTCTGTTGGGCATGCGACTCTTGATACTGGCTCAGGTCTTGATCTCAGCTCAGGTCTTGATCTCAGGGTCATGATGTCAAGCCCCATGTTGGGCTCCATGCTGAGCATGGAGCCTACTTTAAAAAAAAAAAAGGAAGGACATTCTGACCATTGACACATGCTAGCACATGGATGAAACTTGAAGACATTATGCCAAGTGAAATAATCCAGTCATGAAAAGACAAATGCTGTATGATTCTACTCATAGGAGATACAGAATACTCTGTATACTGAATTCTGTTTTTGCAAGATGAAAAGAGTTCTGGAGATTGCTTGCACAACAGTGTGAATATACTTAGCACTACTCAACTGTACATTTAAAATGGCTAAGATGGTAACTTTTATGTCATGTATATTTTACCACAATTAAATATAAAAATAAAAAAAGAATGAAGGCTCTGGACATAGGTGTTTAGTCTTATTGTATGAGTATTGAATGTGATAATGCATATAATATACTTAGTATACTACCTAGCACATGCTATATGTTTATTAAATGTAAGCTAAAGCAAAACTTCCAACCTTCCATGCTGAATACTTACCTCTCCTCCCTTGATTTACTTAATATCATTATTATATAATAAATACAAGCCGGGTATTCTGGCAAAGAAATAGTATTTTTTTTAGTTAGGTAGGTCAGTTATTTTAAACGCTAACCTGTTAGGATGGTCGGTAGATTGGTTTTTATTTTTGTCAACAGTTTATATCTCCTGAACTACTGTCCCTTTCTTTTGAACTTGCTTCTACTGGTTCTGCTTGTGGAATTCAAACTAAATCTACATAATGATCAAAATATTCCACCAAATCAGGAAAAAAATGATGTTCTCACTGTTTGGAGATGAAACAACTGGATATTTACTTTTTTCACATATATTTATCGAGTGCCTCCTTACAAGCGCTAGGAAATCTGGAGCTCATTCTGGTAAGGGAAGAGAAGTATGCACATCAAGAAACACAGTATAATATGGACCATGTTACATACCACAAAATATGTCCATTTGCTATGAGAACTCAGAGAAAAGAGATTACTTTCAGCTGGGTAGGAAAAAGGAAGCAGGCTCTTGTCTCAAAGGGCTTAAAGCTCAGTGCCTGGTACAAAGTAGGTACTTGGTACATATTTGTTGAATGTTGAGTTGGAAAATGCTTCATATAACAGGTCACATTTGAGCTAGATCGTGAAGGTCCGAGGGGATTTGGATCTGGAACAGATGGAGAAGGGCATTCAAAGCAAAAGGAAAAACATAAGAAAGGGCACAGTAGTGAGGAGAACGTGGGGACAAAATGGTGTGGTTTTGAATGAAGACAGATGCAAGAAAAGGAATCATAGGAATTACGCCTTGAACATTAAGTTGGAGCCAAATCATAGCGGCCCTTAAATGGTATTCCAAGAAATCTGCTCTATTTGCAACAATGTGGATGGAGCTAGAGTGTGTTATGCTAAGTGAAGTAAGTCAGTCAGAGAAAGACAAACATCATATTATCTCACTCATATGTGGAATTTAAGAAACAAAACAGATGAACATATGGGAAGGGGGCGGGCAAGGGGAGAAGGGGAAACCAACCATAAGAGACTCTTAACGGTAGAAAACAAACTGAGCATTGATGGAGGGAGGTGGGTGGGGGATGGGCTAGAGGGGTGATGGGCATTAAGGAGGGCACTTGTCGTGATGAGCACTGGGTGTTGTGTGTAAGTGATGAATCACTAAATTCTACTCTGGAAGCCAATATTGCATGGTATGTTAACTAAGTAAACTTTAAATTAAAAAAAAAAAAAGAAATCTGGCCTTTTCCGGTATACATTGGGAAGCCCTTGGAGTTCTTTGGAACAGGAGAATTAGGCAATGAAAGCTTATGCTTTGGGAACAGTTACCTAACAGCAAATGTCCAGAGTGAATTAAGGGCGGAGGGTGAGGCTGGATGAAGGGGAGACCAGCTGGAGGAGTTGCACAAGCATCCAAGCCGTGGGTGACAAGGGCCTAGGGGAGATGGTGGCAGCAGGAATGGAGATGAGGTTCAAGTGTTTAGATTATTGATTGGATGTTGGAGGAAGGGTCAAGGTCAAAGGTGACTGCAGGCTTCAAATGATTCAAGGGTAGCCAAAAGGGTGAGGATGCCATCCTTCGGGAGTTACAAATTTCCGTGAGCAGATGCTGAGTTTCCTATTGGACAGTTTGGAGTTTGAAGGGCTGGCAGGACTCCCAGGTGGAGATACTGATTAAACTGTTTAACCGAGGCTGGGTTTCTTTTTTTTTTTTTTTAAGATTTTATTTATTTATTTGAAAGAGAGAGACACAGCGAGAGAGAGAACACAAACGGGGAGTGGGAGAGGGAGAAGCAGGCTTCCCCCTGAGCAGGGAGCCTGATGCGGGGCTCGATCCCAGGACCCTGAGGTCCTGATCCCAGGATACCTGAGCCAAAGTCAGACGCTTAATGACTGAGCCACCCAGGCGCCCAGAGGCTGGGTTTCTGTTGATCGAATGGACTGGATTAGAACCTTAAGTTTAGATTGGATCCCTTCAGTGGGACTCAGCTACTTAGGAATGGGGAATTGAGAGAACCCCGTGCTCTCCTTATGGTTCCAGGGGGAGATTGCCTTGATGGTGCTTATGCTTTCTTGCATTAGAAACACTCCCAAGTAGACTCAGCTAGCTATCCTGTAAGATCTGATTTAATGGGATTGGCCAATCCCTTATAGACATAGCCTAAACTGATTACCAGTTTTGGCATCCTCTAATAGCCTGGGTGGGAATTACCACAGAAGCAGTGTTGTAGTCACTAAATATTTTAAATGAGTGACTACGTCATTAATATTGAATTCAGCAATACCTCCCATAGTCCTATGACATCTGCTTTACTGCTCACTCGTAGTAGCTTCTTTGATATGAGTGTATTAAATGCTAAATACTGTTCAGGGATCTACTCTTAAATTGCAGGCTACTTTAAAATTTTATATTTGTATTGGACCATTGAGAGTAAAGTAATGCATTTAGAATCCTGGACTAGTATTTTGAGTGGAAGGTAGCAACAATACTATGAATACATCATGATTTGTGCCCAGAGAACCTGGGTATACAGTTGACACAGATTGAGCTTTCGATTCGAAGTACTGGTTTATTTTGTTCATCTAGATTAGTAGTCCCTTTACTTCAGTGTGTATCAGAACTGCCTAGAGAAGGCACAAGTCAAAATGGAATGGAACCCTGAAATCTGCATCTTAAACAAGCACCACAAACCACGCTTCCCATGATCTGGAGACTCCAAGGTCCTTCTAATTCCTTTGACCTTTAACATGGAAGCTCAAAGAAAGAAGAGTTTCCTAAGGTAGTTCCTCTAGCTAGTGTATGCTCTAGAGCAGGGTTTGTAACTTAGAGTCCATACGGATGGGCTTTATAAAGATCTCTGAACCCTTGAAATCATATGGAAAAGCACATACCTACCTGTATGCTTCTGGAGAGATCAGCCAAACACTTGAGAGTTCTAAAAGACTCCAGGACCCCGCGCAAGTAAAGAATTACCTCCCTTGCCCCACCGTGTGGCACAAGAAGAGTATCACAAATTTTCAGTAAGACAAAAATAGTCTTTACTTGCTGGTTTGATTCCCGTTAACCAGAAAAACCTGTTAATAAGCAAAGCTGTTTATTAAACTCTAGCAGCAAGGAAGAGCCCTCCCTTTGTAGAGTTTTAGCAGTGTCTTAGAACGGGGCTGTTAGGGGAGAACATTTATAGGGTTTTAGAGCATGGCTATGTGATTTCATTTTATTTTATTTTAAGATTTTACTTATTTATTTATTAGAGAGTGAGAGTGCACGCATGAGAGAGAGAGAGCAGGAGCAGGGGCAGAGAGAGAGGGAGAAGCAGACGCCCTGCTGAGCAGGGAGCCTGACATGGGGCTCCATCCCCGGACCCTGGGATCATGACTTGAGCTGAAGGCAGACACTTAACTGACTGAGCCACCCAGGCGGCCCTTGATTTTATTTTTAAAGATTTATTTATTTATTTGAGAGAGAGATGGGGGGGTGATGGGCAAAGGAAGAATGAGGGAGAGAAGCAGACTTACCCATGAGCTCAGAGCCCCATGAGGGGCTCAGTCTCAGGCCCCTGAGGTCATGACCTGAGCGGAAATCCAGAGTCCGACACTTAACCCACTGAGTCCCCCAGGCGCCCCGTGGCTATGTGATTTTAAAGCAGGTCTTACAAGGCAAGGAACAGGTTAGGATTGTGCAGCGTTTGTGATTAAATAGCTTTAGGTTGGTGAAGTGAGAGTCTTCAGGAGAGTCTTGGTGAGCAAGCTGTTATTCTTACTAAGCAAAATACTTCAGTTGGTTCAGTCTTATCTTCCAAGAGCAAGCATTTCTTGAAGTAAGAAGCTGCTAGTTTTGCTTGTTCTCAGTATTGTTTAACGTAAGAACAGGAAAATATGCTCTCACTTGATGCTGTTTAACACAAGGGAAAGAAAGTATGCCCAGCCCCAGTATTATTACACAGGGATGGGAAAATATGCCCGGTCCTGGTCTTACTTAACATGGGGCCAGGAAATTATGCTGATTTCAGTTCTCAGGACCAAAGCCTGGTGTTACTAGGTCAACTAATGTTCCCTGGCCCAACCATCCTGCAAAACATAATGTCCCCTGGGGCACCTGGGTGGGTCAGTCGGTTAAGCATCTGCCTTCGGCTCAAGTCATGATCCCAGGGTCCGGGGATTGAGCCCCACATTGGGTTCTCTGCTCGGTGGGGAGCCTGCTTCTCCCTCTCCCTCTGCCTGCCGCTCCCCCTGCTTATGCATGCTCTCTCTCTCTCTCTCTCTCTCTCTCTCTGTGTGTGTGTGTGTGTGTGTGTGTGTGTCAAATAAATGGGTGGCTCACATGGTTGGGCGTCTGCCTTCGGTTCAGGTCATGATCCCAGGGTCCTGGGATCGAGTCCCACATCGGCTCCCTGCTCCTTGGGAGCCTGCTTCTCCCTCTGCTTCTCTCTCTCTCTCTCTCTCTCTCTCCCCCTCTCTCTCTCCCTCTGTCTCTCATGAATAAATAAATAAAATCTTTAGAAAAAAATAAAATAAATAAATAAATAAATAAATAAAATCTTAAAAAAACAGTGTCCCCTGAAGGCCACACATTCTTACTAACCAACCAGCCAACCTGACAGTATAGTGTCTGGTCCCAGATAAACAGAAACATTGGTCTTCCTCCTGCCCCACAAACCTTCAGAAGATGAAAGACTTTAGGTTTTCTAACAGTCCTTTAGTCTGTCATCGAAGATGGGGAGGTCTCCATACGAAATGAGAAGAGTGAGGATAGTAATGAATGTTAAGAAACAGTGAGATTTTGCAGGCGGATGTTCTTTAGTGAAATAGCCACCGTTGAGATGTGCAAGGTTCCCGCTTGGTCAGTAGTACTGATTGGTCTTTGTAGCAGTCTGAGGAGCCTAGACCTAGGCCCATTTTATTTGCCACCAGGGCCATTTTTAGATCCTCATAGGCTGTGTATACACTCATTTATGGAGGCTGCATGATGAGTTGTACCAAATATATTAAAGGGCTCCTCTACCCCACTTAATTTTTTTGCTGTAAACTTTTTGAAGTGATTTTTTAAAGTATCGATTTTGAAATTATTTGATTACAAGTAACACTGAATTTTTGGTTAGGTATCATTTATTGGAAGTCAGTATGATACTCAGGAGCTGTTGCTAAAGAAGACGATCTAATCCACAATTTGGTTTTTAATGTAATGAAATTTCCATAGCTACTAACTATAAGTCACTAAATGAAGTTGACATATAGTTATACTTCGTAGACATGTAATTAGACATTAATGACTTTAGGTTTTAGAGTTTTTTGTCACATTTTGGAGGCAGTGACTTATTTCTGGCTTCAGATACTTTCATAGGCCCATGGAAAGCTTACTATTCTGAAGCATATTGCCTAATAGAGAAGCGAGCTTTGTTTGCCGTATAAAAAGTAGTCAGTTTATATGCAGGTTCTGCCCTTCTACCAATGAACAATGATTAGGTGCATTCTTGATCCCAGCTGGCATAAGATAGAGCAGAACTTTCTGAAACAAAATAATCTCAAAGCAAACACCAATAAACTAAAGACAGTTTCTAAGCTTGCCCACTGAATTTTTTTTTTCCTGAGAACTTAATGGCATTAACACATGTCACTTTCCACACAGCCACGGTACAATAGCATAGCTTAGCTATTTTGGCCAAATTAAGAATAAATATAGGTGTATAAATATAAGAAAACCAATATCAACTAAGTACATGAATTTTAGTCTGTAAACCACTCAGTATGTATATCAGGGCAAGCAAATATTCTTTCAAATACTCTTTTATAAATTCTAAGTTGTCTTCCTTGGCACAGTAGATAAATCTTGCTGTCTCCAATTAGATCTATGATTGCACCTTATAGCTCTACCATCGGTTTATACATGATTGTAGAAGATCCGTGTTGAATTTTATTCATAGGCTGAGGTCCTTTGATGTAATATGTCTATTAGTAGGGCTCCCTGTATCTACCTCAGGAGCTTTGTCCTCGAGAAATAAAAATTCTTTTTAGGATTAGCTTGAGCCTGTATACCCAAAGACATCAACAAAAAACCAATACATACACACACACACACACACACACACACACACACACACACAAAATAAAAAATCATCTATAATCGTGCTTTCCAATAGAAATGAATATCATAAAAGCCATATACGTAACTTTAAATTTTCTAGTAGCCACACTGAAAAAAAGTAAAAAGAAATAGGTGAAATTAATTTTAATGATATTTTACTTAACCCAGTATATTCAGAATATTATCATTTTTTTTAATTTTTTATTGTTATGTTAATCACCATATATTACATCATTAGTTTTTGATGCAGTGTTCCATGATTCATCAGAATATTATCATTTTAACATATACGCAACATAAAAGGAAATGTCTTTCACCAAGGAACTATTTTACAATTTTTTTCATGTTACATATTCAACATGCGATACATATTTTACACTTACAACCCACCTCAATTCAGACTAGCCACATTGTAACTATTCATTAACCATGGACAGCACAGACCTTTGTCATCGTTCAGTGATTTTTAAACTTGAGCCTGAACCAGAATCACCTGGAAGGCTTGTCATTAACACACTATTAGGCCCACTCCCAGAATTATGATTCGTTAGTGTGGATAGAGCCCAAGATTTTGCATTTCTAACAAGTTCCTGGTGATGCTGGTCTGGGGACCACACTTTGAGAACCATAGCCAAAGGGCTTTCAAGATTCAGCTTTGGGGGAACCATTTTTACCCCTGAATTAATATGAATGATCAAGAACCAATCCGAGATACAACAATTATTGTTATTTTTGGTGGTGGTGGTGGTACTGCAGTTTTTAACATTGCAAATCACCATTTTATACCTGTTGGTTAAGACTGAATATTTATGTTGATGAATATTCCTTCGATCTTCATGTCTGTTACTTTCTGAGTGCTTCTTTCCAGGAGGCTGAACAGGGAAGCAACATTTATGGGCTTGCTTGTACTTAGTGAGTATTTGCAGAGCTGTATTACTACCATACCTATATGCATGCTCTGATCGTCAGGCACAAAATAGCCCTTTTCTGGTTGACAAACTATCAGTCAGCAAACTGACAATCCGCCCAGTACAAATTGAAGGCTCTAGTAGCATTTTAAAAATATATTATTCAATGATTTCAAAAACATTGAACTTTCAAATATTAAATGAATAGCTCACTGCTTCTGAGCTCAGTGGAAAATAAAAAGATTTTTTAAAACAATTTCATGATGTTTAAAACCATGGCCTGAATTTACCTCTGAATGTGGGCAGTCCTGGCCACCAAATTGTAGATGGCTCTGCTCATTTGTAAAAGGTGTGGTTTTTTTCATATCCCTATGTGATTAAATATTTCATTTCCCTTTTCTCATTTCTGAAGAAAAACAACGGGGAGTTAATACCTGGTCTCTAAACTTTGTTTTTGTCATAAGAGTACAAAAACAGCATCAGAGCCTCCTTTGGCTCCACCTGTGTCTGAAGAAGAAGAGGAAGAAGAGGAAGAAGAAGAAGATGACAATGAGCCCCCCCCAGTTATTGCACCAAGACCCGAGCATACAAAATCAGTAAGTCACAAATGACTATTTCTAAATGATTCAAAAGATGTCCTCTGAAACCATTGTAGAGTCAGAATCTAGTTAATCAGCTCCTACCTCTTGAGTATTCACTGTGTTCCCTGATCTAGAATATCAGGTACGACCTTGGTTGAGGTTGCTCTTTGAGGATACGAGATAGTACATGACAATTAGAGAATGATACCAAAGGACATACAAAAAGTGCTAAGTTATAAGATCGCTGCAGAAGTTAAATTAGAGAAGGAAATCCATGTGAATCGAGTAGGAAGAATTGCCTAAGCAGAGGCACCAAGACCAGAATTAGCACAGCACGTATGGGGTCCTCAGAAGACAGAGTCCTGAGAGCTTTCAAGGACAGTATATTTGAAGCAACTTAAAGTTCTTGTTTAATACTTAATTAATCACTCGACTTTAAAAACTTATCGGGGGTAGGGGTTGGGGTGTGGAGGAGCGATGGATAGGCAGAGCACAGAGGATTTTTAGGGTAGTGACAAAACTCCATTGCCATCATGGCAGATACATGTCATTATACATTTGACCAAACCTATAGAATGTATACCTTAAGAGAGGACAGTATGTAAACTACGGGCTTTGGGTGATTATGACGCATCAATGTAGGTTCATCAGTTGTAATGAATGTCCCACTCTGGGTGGGGGAGTGTTGGCAATGAGGGAGGCTATGATGTGTGGGCACGGGGGTAGATGGAAATCTGTACCTTCCTCTCAACTTGACTGTGAACCAAAAACTGCTCTAAAATTTTGTCTAATGAAAAAATAAATAAAACCTCATTGACCATGACAGCATCTTGACTTCATACCCTTTACTTGGCCTACTGTTTTTATCGTAGAACTTGTTTTCTTATCTTTAAGATCTACACTCGTTCTGTGCTGGAATCCATTGCTTCACCGGCAGCACCAAATAAAGAGGTCACACCACCTTCTGCTGAGAATGCCAACTCCAGTACTTTGTATAGAAACACAGATCGGCAAAGGAAAAAATCCAAGATGACGGACGAGGAGATCCTAGAGAAGCTAAGTGAGTTTTGGGGGTTTTTTGTTTTGTTTTGTTTTGTTTGTTTTTAGCCATCATTGCTTCATGGGATGGTCTCTCGTAAAACATGTGAAATGGGAACTGATTCTTTTTTTTTTTAAAGATTTTATTTGTTTATTTCACAGAGAGAGACACAGCGAGAGAGAGAACACAAGCGGGGGAGTGGGAGAGGGAGAAGCAGGCTTCCCATTGAGCAGGGAGCCCGATGCGGGGCTCGATCCCAGGACCCGGGGATCGTGACCTGAGCCGGAGGCAGACGCTTAACGACTGAGCCACCCAGGCGCCCCCGGGAACTGATTCTTTCAAAGTTTTGGCCTCCTTGCATAAACTCCAGGCTCCCTGAAGTCAAAAAATGTAAAGGTTGGAACTTGCTCTGTATTCCAGATCACTCCTTCCCCCACACTCCAAATTTGACAGAAACTAAATATTTTCACTTGACAAAATCAGTTAAGGTGAAAACTTGACACGATGAATTAAACATTGAGTTTTATTTTAAGATGATGCTCCCGAAAGGAATAAAATAATCTATGACATATCTTTTGATTATCCCCCAAGGTCTCCCAACTGATCAATCATGATAGATAAGTCAACCTCAAAGCCCAAAGCAGTCAGTCAAAACCAACAGCCACAGTAATATCGTCTTTTCCCTTAATTTAGGAGCATTTCTCTGTGGAGAAGGGGAGCAGGGCCAGCAAATGCTAGCAAACTCCCTCCTCCGGTGTCATTATTGTGTACACGCTTGTGCATACACACTCACTCCAGGTTTACGAAACAATTCTCTTTCAGTTAGCTTTCTGGATCAAAGAGATTTAAGAAAAGGACATTGTCTGCTCAAAAGAGCCAAAGGTCTGTAAAACATAGTCATAAAACTCGTACTACAGAAACATCTAACACATTCCCAGTTATTTGCAATCGGTGGCCCCAATCTCACTAACTCCTATTCATCCTTCAAAACCCAACTCAAAAGTTGCCTCCTCAGGACAGCCTTCTTTGCCTCTCCCAGTGTGAGTTAAGGACTCCTCCTCTTTACTGCCTTTATGGCAGCAAATCACACCATACTAGTCCCATCTCTTTCACTTAGAGTTGTGAGCTCCTCAAGGGAAGGGACTGTGTCTCCTTTTCCTATATGTCCAGCTCCTAGTAAAGTGCTTGGTTCATAAAGGCACTTAACTGATGCTTTTTGAGTGAATGAATGAAAAAAAAAATGAGCAAAAAAAAAAATGTACCTTGACTGAGTCCCTACTTGTCTGTTCTATGTAAGATTCTTTGGAGGAAACCATAGAAAAAACAATTTCCTGCCATCAGGAACCTTTTACAATTTTATTTGGATGATAAGATTCAGTAACGTGATACAATTAGAGACTAGGAAGCCGTCTGGTTTCATGCAAATTTCCATCTCGAAGACCTCAGGAAAAGAAGAGAGCAGTTCCAGCTAGAGGCCACAGGGAGACTGCATAGGTGGTTGTGGGGCCATCTTCCCCTCCAGGAAATACTTGGCAATGTCTGGAGACATGTTTATAGTCACAGCACAGGGAGCGCTACTGGCCTCTAGTGGCCAGTGGTTAGGGATGTTTCTAGAATCTCTACAATGCTAAGGTCAACTGCCCCCCCCCCGCAACTTCCCTTCTGTGACAAAGAATTATTCAGCCCCGAATGTCGGCAGTGTTGAGGTTGAGACATCATGAGCTAAGGTACTTGGAAATGCCAAGGCTGGCAGTGAGCGTTTGGAACTGGAACCACTGGGACTTCGGCCAACTGACTTTACGTGATTAAATATGCCTCTGGTGCTAATACCTACTATTTGCTATAATAACAGTAGTAATAATTCGCATCTATTGAGCACTCTCTGGGCTGGCCACTTTACATATGTCATAAGGTTTAATTTTCATTACAATACCTTGGGGTGGATTTCAATATCGTCATTTACAGATGGCTGAAAGTAAGCCTCAAAAAGCTAAAGCGACCAGGTCGCCAAACTAGGGAGCGGCCGAGCCCAAGAGTTTGAACTCAACTCTGTTTGCCTTCAAAGGTGACACTAGTTCGGGGGCGCCTGGGTGGCTCAGTTGGTTAAGTGACTGCCTTTGGTCATGATCCCGGGGTCCTGGGATCGAGTCCCGCATCGGGCTCCCTGCTCAGCGGGGGGTCTGCTTCTCCCTCTGACCCTCCCCCCGCTTGTACTCTCTCCCTCTGTCAAATAAATAAATAAAATCTTAAAAAAAAAAGTGACACTAGTTCTATTAACCCACTTTGCTGCATATCCCAACAGTCTATATATGGAAAAGGGTAGGAGAAAGAAAGAATTGCCTGGATAATTCCAGTTCAGTTATTCAGACAGTTACTTCAATTTTTTCTTTATTTTATACATGTAGACATGACCTATGAGATTTTATTAGATTTTTTAAATCTGACAGCATCGCTTTCATAAAACAATAACTGTGATGGGTCTTTGTTGCGAATCTCAATCGATTTATTAGAGTGCAGATGCATTTTTGGTTTTCTTATACTGACCGACAGAGAGACAAGCATTCTCCTCTTGGGCCCAAATCTGGCTTTGCTTGCGGACTGCAATGGTGCCGGAGCTGTGGTCACTCTCGTTGCCTGTGTATTCTGCCCTGCCCCGAGCAACATGGTGAAGAGGAGAAAACTGCCTTTGATTACATTTTTTAATGAAGAATTGGGTGTTTTCATCTCTGTTGGAGGCTGCTCGGGCCTCGGGAGGCTCATTTTCTGACCTCGCACTTCCAGATCTTGGCAGGGAGAACCTATAGAAAAATGGGGGAATGCTTTTCATGAAGCAGGTCCAGGCTGAGCTATACTGCAAAGGCTGCAAAGTGGGTCTTTCCTGCTTCTGCTGCACCTCTGGGCATGCACTCCCTGTGTGCCCTCTCTCTTTGCCACGGCCTCGCCATATAACTTCAGATGATTTATTTCAGCCCTCTGAGCATCAGGGAGAAGAATCATAACTGCATTTCAGGACTCTGTCTATAGGATGGATTTTATGTAACTCAGCCTATGACTAAGAGGACAAGTACTGGAGTCAGAAAGGCCTACATTCAAATGACAAGCCCCTTGCTTGTGTTACTTTGGGCAAGTTATTTAACTTTCCTTGACCTCTTTTTCCTCATCTAAAAAGAAAAATAAGGAGATATTAATAGTACCAACCTCATGTCGTAATAATAATTAAATGAGAATAGGGCACATAAAAACCTCAGCCACAGTCCCTGGTACACAGTACGGGCTCAATTAATGGTAATTACCATTTTATTACATGAGTATAAAGCCTTAGTAAGATCATACACTAGGCCAGGCTTTGGAATGAATCATAAAGGAGTCTGAGTCATAGGCCCAGACTAGCTATGTGTCCTTAGGCCAGTCACTCAACTCCTCTGAATTTCAGTTTCTTCATTTGAAAAATGGAGGTAATAATAGTACCAATGTGATAGGGATTTGGCGAGGACTAAACAAGGTGAAGTATGGAAGACACCTAGCACAATAAATAGTAGTATAAATTCATTGTGTTATTTTTGTCAAATGAGAGCCACCGTATTTTGCAACATAAAAAAGGGGGGGTCTTCCAGTGGGACAGAATGTTTGAAACCAGAAATGAGCCAAGATGTATGGTCCTTATACAGAAGTCATTGAGAGAATCAAGGCCCCCACTGGAGCTTAGGGAAGGAGTAAAGGAGCCTGTGCTGAGAGGCAAAGGAGAGGAGGCTGGGAGCCAGAGAGGTTGAGGAAGAGCCTACAGCCCATACCAGAGTGGATCCCACCATAAGCATGGGGAAGGCGGGGAGGGCAGCCCTCTTCGGGCTCAGGGATCCAGTTACTGTGAGGTGGGCAGCCCAGCCCACAGAGCTGCCAGGCTAGCCCTCTTCCACGCAGATGCTGATTGTGGGGGCCAGACCATGGGATCATTAATAGCTGAAATAAACAGATCATCTTTCAGTTTTACACAGACAGATAGCCTGGGTCTGGCTTGTTCATTGTGGTCTGTTTGAATCTGTTGGAAAATAAAGAAACCCCTACGTTTTAGAGAAAATTTCCAAAAGGCACTGTCAGCAAAATGGTACAAGGCAGGAAATTTGTCTTGGGCCCCACCATCACCCCCTCTCCTTGTCTCTCCCCTTCTCCAGCATTCCTCAGTCAAAACTCTTCTAATTTTCCCCTCAGATAGGACTAATATTAATTTAGAGAATTAGTGTTGCTTTTTTTCCCTCAGGAATCAAAACTCCTCAGTATGCTAAAGGAATAATCTTTTTAATGGTTGGAGTTCAACTTGGCTTAATATGCAGGAAAATACCCTGATAGGCTTTCCTGAAACCACATCATGAACCCTATTTTCAAATACTACTATTTAGTCATTTCTTAAATCCTTATACTTTCAAATGAAGAGTTGGCTTCTTATTTAAGAAATTGCCCTGGTAGGAAAATTGTTTTGGTGTTGCTATTTTTTTTTTGTCCTTTTTGATTTTGAGTTGCTGATCTTTGTCACTGTTTTTCCCCTATTGTGTCACAGTGGGGGTTTTTTTCCCCCTTTCCTTAGTGTAATTTATAAAAGCAGATTACAATGGCTCTGATGAAAGAGGTCACTCGAAAAGTTTGTTTTGTGATTGGGAATCGTAAACAAGACCTCCTGTGCACTTGCCTCACATCAGTAGATGGCAGCACACACTCTCCTGTGAAGGGTAGTGGGTGTGGAGACGCCATTTTATTTGAACCGCAGTTCAATCCAGAGGCAGGAGCTCCTCAAAATGGCTGTCTTTTGGTATTCCTCATGAAAGGATTTATTTCCAGGTTTTTTTTTTTTTAACTCTGCATTCCAAGGAAATAAAGGTTGAGTAATTTACTACCATAAAACCTCATTAACTGAGCCCTGCCAATTGAAATTGATCATAATTCAGAAAGTGGCTTGGGCCGAAGGTTATTTGCTTTTGTTCAGTCTATGGAAAAGAGTTTGCTCAGCAACTTAATAGTATAACTTTCTTAGAAGACTATAAACTCCTTAATAAAATGATGGTTTCAAGTAACTTTAAAATTGTCATTTTGTTACCAAATAAAAAAGAAAGAAAGAAAAAGGTCCAGGCCCTTATCCATTAATAGCTGACTTGAATAAGGATAGTTCTCAGTGATGTAGAAGTCCATAATACAATTTGAAAGGTGAAGTGGCAATTCAGAAATTGTTAAATTGGTGGCATTCTATAGATGTAACTCAAGTAAAATACGTTCTCCAGCCCCTGTCTTAAAATATGGGGCATTTACAAAAGGAAATGCCTAATTTTATTTGAGTTCAGTTCCACAGACAGTTACTGAGTAACTAATGTATTTCTCACACAACATTGTTTGAGGAGGTGCTGAGGATACAGAAATGAATGAGACCCGACTCTTGTCTTTAAGACATAGTCCATAAGGGGATGTCAAATATATAGAGATGGATACATGGTGTATTAAGTAAAGAGAAGCAGAGTAAGTGCAAAGGGAAGAGAGACAGAGAGAGAGAGAGAGAAGGTACAGTAGAATAGAGAAGGGGAATTATTAACTTTATTCAAAAAAATCAGGGAAGGCTTTCTAGGAGAGGCACCATCGAAGCTGAATTGAAGCATGAATAGGAACTTGAAAATTTAAGAAGGACGTTCCAGGCAGGAGAATAGCAAGTATAGAACGTGTGCACCCGGGAATGCTAGCTTATTCAGTATCACTTGAATATAACATTGGTGGTAGGTGGAGGGATCAGAGTCTTAAGAGAGGAAGCTCAGCGGTCAAGCAAGAGCTGATCATGAGCTGCAATTTGTTATGGTCAATGGCAGTGAGGGTTGAGTGGGGAAGTGGTGGAGAGGAGATGGAGAATGAAGCAAGAGTCAGAGATGAAAAGCCTTGCACTCCATGCCAAGGAGTTTGAGCTTTACCCTTGTAGGCGTTGTGGGGAGGGAGGGCAGCTTGGAGGACTCCTGAACCAGGGAATCACTTGATCGGGTTTCCACTTAGAGCATCCTGCCAGAGACAGGTGTAGATCGTGGACTGGAGTGTGAAGAGGCTGGACGTTGGGAGTACAGTGAGGAGGCTGTTGGAACAGCCCAGACAAAAAGCAATGAGTGCGCAACTAGAATAGTAGGAATGAGGGGAAGGGACAGATTGACAAGGTCTCTAGGAGGTAAGCAGATACAGGCTCAGGACTTGGTGGACAGCTGCATGGGGGTAGTGAAGGTGAGGGATGAGTCAGAGCTAACTCCCAAGTTTCTGACTTGGGCTAAAGAGTAGACAGATGGTAGTTCCATGGACTAAGATTGGAAATGGAAAAGAAAAAGAATTTTAACAACTCACATATTGTATACGTCTTATTTAATTTCACTGAAACATGGACTTCAGTTGTAAAAAAACAAACCACCACCCCCACTAACAACAATAAATCTAACAACTTGATGAACAGTCCAGGACTGAAACAGTTTTTTTTCAAGGTATACCATCTACTGGTAGGTCTGAATTAACACCAGGTATTGTTTGTAGCACACAGTTTAGCACTTGACTACATACTAAATGTGGGTATTCATTTGGTCAACAAATAACCGTTCAGTGATGGCCATTGTTCTAGGCACTGAAGTTACAGGGATGAAAAGACAAGGTTCCTGCCCTCAAGAAGAAACATGAGAATCTCATTAGAGGAATCAGAGAAGAATTCACAAAGTAGGATGACTTGAGATAATGTTTAAGTAATAAATAGGAATTCATGGGTTAGATAAGAAAGGGAAAGGGAGAGCATCTGCAAAGACATAAGCCTTGGATAATGATAGCATTACTAGGATTTAAAGAAGGAGGGATGGACAGTAGAGGAATTATATGAGATTAGTCTGGTTAGGTAGGAGTTGGTTGGTGCTAGATGGAAAATAGCCCTCTATGCCAGACTAAGAAATTTTAACTTGAATATGTACCCAGGACGGTCTTGGTTTGTGAATTACATGGTTACCCTATTCCAAAAGCATTGCAGAAGATAGAGAAAACAGAGTGTTGAGGTAGGTAATGACGAGTGCAGTTGTTTGGACGAGAGATGTTAAGGGCCTGAACAATGGCACTGACCATGGGCATGAAAAGGAGGGAAGGAATAAGAGTGACCATTAGGAGATAGAATCTACAGACCTTCTCTTGATTAGTTCATGCTGTAAATCTTATCCTACGGACGCTACACTTCTTTGGAACAGGGGCCATGATAGTAAAATATGACTCAAAGGTAATGATACTGATATGTTTGCTTAAAAACAAAAAAGGAGAGCCAGAAACATCCAAATAAATGATTCCCTTTGAGGTAGTCCACTTGAGAATCTAAACCTGTATTCCCATGATGCTGCCATGCCCCGGAATTTTTCTGCACCTATTTGAGCACTGCATTGAAGAGTCAATGGCCCTTCTTTTAGGTTTGTTCTGAGTGGTGTATTCATCCTCTGAGTACTGGATTTGCTCTTTTGAAATAACAAAACCAGTATTTGTTTCCCAGAGCCAAATATGATAAATTAATGTTTTTCTTGCGTGGTTTATAACCTTACTCTACAACGTTTGGAACAGTCTATAGAAACACAAAGTAGATTGGCGGTTGCCTGGGGGTGGGTAGGGAAGCCAGGGGGAGGGGTGGATGAAGAGTGACTGCAAACAGGTACAGGGTTTCTTTCTGGGGTGACAAAAACACCCTAAAATGAGATCATGGTGAAATTTAATGAATTTGCACAACTCAAAAAATTTACGAAAAGCCATTGAATTGTACACTAATTTTTTTTTCTTTTTTAAAAAAAATACTTGGCACTGCTTTTGCTGCATCCCACGTAATTTGATAGGTTGTATTTAACTTTCATTTAGTTCAAACTCTTTTTACATTTCTCTTGAGGTATCTTCTTTCACACATCTTATTTAAATATCTTGGGATTTTTCCAGTCATCTTTCTGTTACTGATTTTTAGTTTGTATCCATTATGATTAGAAAAGGCAGTTTGTATGATTTCAGTCTTGTAAAATTTGCGAATGCCTGTCTTGCCGTCTAACATGTGGTCTATCCTGGAGAACGTTCCCTGTGCACTTGAGAAAAATGTGTATTCTTCAGTTGTTGGGTGACGCGTTCCATAAATGTGTTAGCTCCAATGGATCCATAGTGTTGTTCACATTCTCCATTTCCTTGTTGATCTTCTCTCTGGTTGTTCAGTCTGTTAATTAAAGTCTCCGACCATTTGTGCTGCTGTTAATAGCTCTCTTCAGTCTTGTCAGTGTTTGCTTCATATATTTGGGAGCACTGATAAATTGTACCCTCTAAATGAGTGAACTTTATGGTATGGAAATCATATTACAATGAAGTTACAAAATGTGTGGAGTGCAGGTACGGTCCTGGGTTTGGGGATGTAGTTTTCAGAAAGCATGAGTCTCATTGCTTTATGAGTCAACTTTGTTCTTTATTAGACCCCATCACCCTTAGCACAGTACTGGGTACATAGTAATGGCTCAAGAGATATTTGTCCAGCAGAACTGAATGTAGTGTAGAGCTCAACTTCACTCCAATTCAGAGAAGATAGTGATTTTATTAAATAGTTCATACAAGTTCTTAGATGTTTTTATCTCCTGATCTACAGTGTCCTTTTATGGGAACGTTTTATAAATGTTGAGTTGTGTCCAATCCATTTTGTTTCCTAAACATCATCAATTTTGAATATAAAAGCATGGGTTATTACTACTATTTTAATTAATATATTACTGTTTGTTACTTTAATAAAATGTATTTTAGCCATATAAATTATGGAAATTCCATGGGAATATTGCTCTAATGTTTTATTTGTCATTGACTCTGGCATTGTAATTTTTAGTATTAAATAAAGGGAAATCAACCAATCAATTTAAATCTCTCTCTCTCTCTCTCTCTTCCTCTCCCCCCACCCCCAAACTCAGGAAGCATTGTGAGTGTCGGTGACCCAAAGAAAAAATACACAAGATTTGAAAAAATAGGCCAAGGGTAAGTGATTGTTATTTAAAATATCAGAAGATAAGCACCAGAGATATACATTCAGATTCAGTAACAGCCTGCGTTATATTCATGTTTTGCATTCTCAATATTGGGCTTTCTAGCTGACAGACTGTTAATTAATCTAGCAACACATCCTGCTGGAATCTGCACTTCTGTCGGGCCAAGGGCGAATTGTTTAAGGATATTTGAATCCCATAGAGTTAGAAGATTCAAACTGATTTCTCCGGAAAAGCCGTAGGGTTATAGAAACCTTCAACTTGTATGAAAACCCCCTTTATCCCTGTCCCCACTACATCCGTACGGATGTTAGGCTTCAGATTCTGTTTCATTGTCAAACTATGCAGTGACAGAGTGGGGGCAGGGGAAGTCCTTACCTAACAGTCCAGAAGGGGGCAGAGTTGACTCTTCAAGTAAGGAGGAAACAGATCAATAATCCCTAAATGAGAAGGAGTACATCATTTTCACTTAGCGTGCTTGCTAAGAATAAAGATTCCCCAGGCCCGGCTGCCAGAGATCTGATTCAGAAGCCTGGAGTGGGGCCCAGGAATCTGAACTTTGGGAAAATCCCTCCGAAAATCCTGATCCTCGGCAAGACAAGGGAACCACAGGGCCGAATCATTCACTAGAGCTAAAGGTGGAAGTCATCCGTTCTCTAAGTCAACTGTAATTAGGCATGTTTCTCAGATCTCAGTGTGAAACTGAGAGTGGGCTACCGTGTTTGAAACAAGGAAACGTTTTGTTTCAAGTCAAATGAAGTGTTCTTAAGAGGCGTCCTTAAATGGGGAAGGAGACAAATATTTAGATGCATCAGCTACTGTATGCCAGGAACCAAGATGGTAGCCCAGAGGTCTCCTGGCTGAGAAGGAAGGGATACAGCTGATGTCCCTACGGAATTATGCTAGCCCTTCAGCCAATGGAGTCTATTTTCAGATAAGGGAATGGACGATTTCGTCTTCGGTTACTTCACTGCTTTTCCTTGGATTCTTAGGTTCAGAAAATCGTGTGTTGTACATAAGCTTGACAATTTTTCTATATTTTATTTATTTTTTCCCTCTAGCTTTGGCACTAAAGTTTCTTTTGAAAATTGCCGACTTATCTCACAAAATAAGGGAAAGCATTCATCATTAGATATTTTGGCCAGGGGGTAAGAGTCTTGGGGCACTTGTGGGGAATGTGCCTGGTTTCTTTCTTATGGTAAGAAAACCAGAACAGGGAGGGAGAAACTCAGGGAGAAATAGATGACCAAGTTTCTTCTTCCAGTGGAAACCATAATGCTATTGCATTTGAACTTTCTAAGGGTCAAAATATTTGTGCTTTTGCCTCTTTCTTTGACATTTGGTATCACTGGTATTCTTACTTGCTCATGGGGGGAAAAAAAGAGTTTTTAGTCCCTAGGGACCCCTGTCACCTAACCAGTCAAATAGTATTTCTGCCGATTGCTCTAGACTGGTGCTATCTAAACAGAACTTTCTGTGATGATGGAGATGTTGTCTGTGTGTGTTGTCCTATACCATAGCCAGTGGCACGTGTGGTTATGGAGCACTTGAAATGTGTCTGATGCAAGTGAGAAACTGTATGTATTTAAATTAATTTATTTGTTTATCACACACTTATTGACTGCCAACTGTGTGCCAGATACTTTTCTAAAGGCTGGAGAGACAGAGATAGGTACTGATGTGGGCCCTCAAAGAACTTAGAGTCTATAGTGGTAAACACTTGACAGAGGGATACATTAGGGAACAAGGAAAACATTGAGACAAGTCTCCCTCACCTGAGTGCAGGGCAGGGCTGGCTTCTGTAGCCATTATTTCCCACCTGGAATTTTCCTTCTTAACTTCTGGTGGAATGGTTGTTTTACTTAAGTAAGGAAGCCATACCTTCTCCAGTCCGTATACACATACATACACCTCAACTCGCTTTCTTAATGCCCAAAAGGTGAACACCCCAAGGCCAGTTAAAACAACACAGTATTCAGGGAGCTTGGAAAGCAAAAGTTGCCTTTTATATTTGATTGTAATCTGGTTGGGTTTTTGGTGGAGCTAATAATAGGAAGGGATACACAATCCACAGAGAAGCAGCATTTCAGATCGTAGCTGTCCAATATGGTAACCGTGTGACCATTGAGCGCTTGCGGTGGGGCTAGTCCAAATTGAGATATGCTACAAGTCTAAAATATGCATGATTTCAAAAACTTAGGAGGAAAAAATGATGCAAAGTATCTCATTAATAAATTATATATTGGTTACATGTTGAAGTGGTATTTTACATGCATTGTGTTAAATACAATGTATTATTAAAATTAATTTTATCTTTTAAACTTTTTAGAATATAGCTCCCCCCAAATTTAAAATACAGTTCACCTTATATTTCTAAAGGGCAGCGCCACTCTAGTTGTAGGTCTAAATGGGAGCTATTTGTTTATTTTTTCAAAAAAGTAGGTTTGTTTCAAGAGTTGTTTTTTGGGGAGTGGGAAGTAGGAGATGTTATAATTTTGTTTTGATTGTTCTTTCCCACTAAGACCCAACTGAGCCAAAAATAGCATTGAATTTAAAAAAGAAAAAAGTAAAAGATGGTTTCAAATATCTCCCAGATACCCAGGTAATGAAGCAAGACTGATTTCTCCAAGAACAAAGATTAGGCCGCCAAACAACTTGGCATACCAAAGAGATTTCCCCTCCTAGTTATTTATGCCTCTGACCTCTGAAGGTGCAAAAGGAAAGTTCTGTATTTCTCCGTAACTCTGTAAAACCTTTATAATCTAAATTGAAAAGTCAAAGCAGAAATCCTGCCTGCCACTGTGGAAAGGTCTGTTTTAAATTCCCAGCTAGTTCATCATTTTAAAGAATGTTGAAACCAGTAGATATTTCACTCATATGCCCAATTCTACTTCTAAATAAGTCCTTAGAGGGTAGGGAGTCTATTTTATTCCTCCCTTTGTCTCCTTTGGTATCTAGCACAGGGCTTTTTTACGTAGTAGCCCCCTCCCTCCAAAAGACAAAGGAAACAATTTTGTACAATTTCAGTCAACAGCAAGAATTTACTTGGCCAAGGTCAAAGATCTACAGAGCTTCTCCTGTCTGCCTCTCCCATCTCTCTGGATCTGTTTTTGCCTCAGTAAATATTTGTGAAACAAACAAGAAAAATATTTGTCTTTCTAGCTCTCCTTTTAAAACCTCTGTCCTGTCTTTTCATGTGTATGTACCTGTCTGTATTGCTCTTTCTGTCCTGTTTCCCTATCTCCCTATCTCTTTCTCTGTCTCGGTGTGTCTTCATCTCTTCCCATAATAACTTGATCTGATTCCTTATCTTTTGGGTACTTTGTGTGTGCTGCACGGCTGTCTTTTTCATTCATGTTGGCTTCACCTTGCACTGCCCATTTTCACACACACACTCAACCCAGATGGTCGCAAAATAAAATCAAGATGCACATCTGAAGAGCTTTTAAGATATAATATAGTAACTGAAATCTACTTATTTACTGTGATTTCAGCTTGTATTTAATTTACTAATTTTGGTTTTGTGTTTCTAGTAGATTTTTGCTCTCTGTTCTTAATTTCTAAAAGTGAGTGAGCAAAATATTGATTTATTTCTCTCTAGGCCAAAAAACGAAAACCACTTAAATTAGTTTTCCTTTTACTTAAATTGCTCTCAATGGATTTTTCCATGAATTACTGGCCTAAATTAGACAAACTCGCCTCTGCTTTCAGTGTATAGAGTTTGTATTTTCTTTTCATTAAGTCCGGGTGTTTTTTATTGTTTTGCTTTACCTATTATGATGGTGAAAATCAAACCTGTGTCCGTAATCATTTGGTGCTAGGAATAATCAGCCCCCGTATTCCATTTTCAGCTTCAGGGAGCACAGCAGCTTACTCTTGGGAGCCGGATTTGAGAAGAACCTCTCCATTAATCACCCTCATCTACTTGGAAAACTAAAATTTTCCAGTATGGGTTTCTGCCATCCCAGCGTTCAGGCCCGGGGCCAGAGAATTGGCCTCCATCTTCCATAAATCAAGTTCAGAATTGCATGTCTAATCATTCGAGGCCATAGCTGAGAGTCGAAGGCTAAAAATGACATTATTTCACCAGATTTCTGTGAAAAGACTTCTATAACTGGCCACCAAATCTGGATATTTTGAGCAGATGTATGTAAAGTTTAACAAAAAGGAAAGGAAGAAAGTAAAAAGGCCTGGCATCCTCCAAATTATCATTAACAACATGAGTTTGTCAGATCAACCTGGCAAAGCCTAATTCTCGCAGAAGCAGTATAGCTGTGTGATTGCAGACAGCTGAGTTTACTAACGTCTACGGCGGGCCTCACAGATTTCTCATTAATATATGTGAATTCGTTTTTAAGACCTTTTCTTACAAGAGAATGCACTGAAAAGCAGACCCCTTTTCTCTTTCGCTTTCATGTTTGCTCTCTCTTCAACATTGTAATAGACAAATATTTTTGAGGATGCAACCCAGAGACGGTTTGGATCCAGTTTAAGGAGTGACTTGTTTCATTTGGTGCAGTTTGACTGAATGCCTGCTACCTATAATGCACAAAACATAAAATCGTAGTTAAGAACCAGGTTCTGAGAGTCACAGTGAGCCTAGGGCTCACTGCCTTTTGGAACATTCAACAGGGAGAGAAGAAAAGTTGTATCGAGAAATAAGCGGGGGACCCCCCCCAAATGCATGTACTTTAATTAATTTCTTAGAGCATCTGTTTTCTCATCCATAGTAAGCAGAAGATACATACCTCATCAGGTTGAGGGAAGTGAAGGAGGGGAGGCATTTTGGGTGCTCAGCACAACATGGCACATAGCGAAGGGCTCAGTAAATGCTAGGTATCATTAGAGGTGAAAGGCACCCACTGTTACTATTCTGTAGAGCAGGATAGGGCAGGTAGCATAGCATAATTACAAAGAGCCATGGGGACGGAGAGGAGGGACAGACCATTTATAACCAGGGAGAGGGTATGATGAAGGATCCTTAGAGAAGGG